CTACTGATTGGATGTGATATTGGAACTTTTCAAAGTTCCATTCAAACTCTATTTTACATGGTCAAATCTTTATTTTAAGTTCAAAAAGTCTTTATTTTAAGTACAGTTTCTTACAAGTAAATAAAGAACAATTTTGACATTCGATCAAAGCGACAAAGGACTGAAATCACTAACAACAACTCCTTATTGCGTAAACCAGGCTCTACAAGCCTGGTTTACGCAATAAGGAGTTGTTGTTAGTGATTTCAGTCCTTTGTCGCTTTGATCGAATGTCAAAATTGTTCTTTATTTACTTGTAAGAAACTGTACTTAAAATAAAGACTTTTTGAACTTAAAATAAAGATTTGACCATGTAAAATAGAGTTTGAATGGAACTTTGAAAAGTTCCAATATCACATCCAATCAGTAGAATGATGTCTAAACCTGGTAACAGAAGCTTTAAATAAACGTGTGTTTAAGTGGAATGATGTCTAAACCTGGCAACAGATGCTTAAAATTGCGACCGTGGCGCAGTGGTTAGAGCGCTTGCTTTATAAGCAGGAGATCCAGGTTCGAAACGAGCTTTAGACATATTTTGCGTCGAAGAAAGGAAGGACGCGTGAACTTCCTGGTTAAATGCACTTCTGCGGTGCTGTGTGACAAGACCGTAAGGACTTCTTGGGGCACCTAAATAACAAATATATATATATATATATATATATATATATATATATATATATATATATATATATATATATATATATATATATATATATATATATATGTATATGTATATATATATATATATATATATATATATATATATATATATATATATATATATATATATATATATATATATATATATATATATATATATATATATATATATATATATATATATATATATATATATATATATATATATATATATATATATATATATATATATATATATATATATATATATATATATAGGAATAAGGCAATGATTTAGTTCAATTAAGAAAATATATGTAAGCTTTCTTAAATTTGTCATCTGAAAATTTCTTTTTTAACTAAGTTACTTTATAATCCATGCATCATTATAAAATCTTCCAGACCACTTTTTCAAATAACCAACTATTGTGGTATAGAATTTTACTACAACAGAATTCACATATTTTTTTTACTTATATTTAAATATATTAAATTGATGATATATTTTTAGGATTATATCTTTAATATTTATTGGAATTACACGTGATTTTCAGTGAAGTTTACAGTGTTATCTGAAAATCCAACAACATTACCTTGAATATTGTAAACGTTATTATCTTTTAAAATTATATTAGCTATTGTGTCTGCAATTTCATTTGGAAGGTTATGAACTTTTAAAATACAAGACTTTATTTTGAAAGCTGGTTGTTAAACCAGCTTTCAAAATAAAGTCTTGTATTTTAAAAGTGCATGTGATGCATCGAACCACAAAAAAAAAAAAAAATTATTGTGGTTCAATGCATCACTGCAACAACAACAAAGTTTGCTTGTTGCAAATTTTTTTTTTTACAAATCTTCAGACTAATTTAAAGTTAAATTGTTAACAAGACATTCTGACGTTTTCCACACATAATCTTGTAATTACAGGATTTTCTGAAAAAGTTGATGTGCAGTCTATATCAATGAAAGAATGGCCGTGTTTTACGTTGTGGTATGACCATACGAGCTCAATGACTGTAAGTTTTCAGCATAAGCAGCTAAATCTTTAGAGAGAAAAAAGGTTCTAGCTTTTGTTTTATAAAAACTGATGAACATTTTTTATGTGTTTATGATGCTGCGTGTTGAACCATATTTCATTTTTGTCATGGTAAAAGAAATATCAGCTTAGAAAAAAAAATACTGCTTAGATATGGGCAAAATCATTTATTATTTATTGTTTATTTCAAATAAATAAATTTCTTAATTCAGTAGTTTAAAAAAAAAGAGTATATTTTGTAATTTTTAGAAAAAGAGAGAGTATAAATAATTTTACATCAAAAAGAGTATAATACTCTAAAAAAGAGTACGTCTGGTCACCCTATATATATATATATATATATATATATATATATATATATATATATATATATATATATATATATATATATATATATATATATATATATATATATATATATATATATATATATATATATATATATATATATATATATATATATATATATATATATATATATATATATATATATATATATATATATAGATACATTTATTTATTTAACATTAAAAACATTTATTTATGAACAGCAGTTTCAAACGATCAGAAAAATTTTTTTTCAATAAAAAATACTTTTTATTTCATTTACTTACCATTCGAATGTTTTGTTCTAATTAAAAAATTTGAAGCTACGTGATACAGAACCTAATTAATTTAATTCCATTTAGTAGTTTCCCATTTAGTTCAAAGTTTTTCGCGATATAGCAAGTCAAAACTCAATAAAAACTCTTCTATTTCTTTTTAATTAACTTTTATTAGATGATTATCTTATTAACCAAACTTTTATTTTAAAAATCCATTCAAAATATAGTTATACTAAACACGCTCTTCTTCGAGTAACAATATTGCTGACTCCTTTAAAAACTCTTCATTTTGACGATTCATTCGTTCTTCAAAACCATTTGATGCTTTAATTGCCATATTTTAAAAAAAGTTTGAAAGCTTTTTTATTAGTATGACGGATAAAACACTAATTAGGTTGTTAACAATGCAAATAATAATGAATAAATAAGAATTCATACTTAAATCACTTTTATTTTTAATGGACGTAAGGTGTATCTTTACAAAGTTTTTTATTAAATGATCATAACTTATGCGCTTTTTTTTAATTTCAGTCCCATGAAGGCATAAATAAGCGTTTAATAATTCCACGATGGCCAGAAAAAGGTTAATATTGATTTAAAATAAATTAATTGTTTTTAAGTTTTATTATAACTAAATAGATTCCGTGGTAGTTTTTTTATAAAGTCTTGATAAGATCGCATGATAGATCAGATTTCGTGGTTGTTTTTATAAAGTTCTTGATAATGATTACAAGTGATCTTGTCTGCCAATAATATAACCAAATTTAACTTCATATATATGTTTTACACTAAATTAACTTATCTCCTTAGGCCAGTATAAACTACATTTGTGGTTTGAGAGAGACATTCATTGCTTATTTGAATAAAAAATATAAAAAAAAGTTATTAAACATGAAAAACTGGTTTTCCCGGTTTAAAAATTCTTTTTAACTTTGTTTTATGTAAGTATTGTTTATTTAAAATTATTGTGGAAGAACCAACAATTGTCTGTCTACCATAACAAATGCGTAATTACCATAGCAAATAATAGTTTAAAGAATGTTTTAAAAACAAACATAGAAAGTAATATACAACAAGTCTTAGCAACTCTCCAGAGATTAAACATAAAAAATATAAGTTCTATTTAAATCAATGTTAAATCATATAAATAAGATATTAAATCGAAAAAAATTCTCTCTTTAATTAAAAAAAATTCCTCTTTCTTCAATTAAAAATGTATTGACACCCCCAATCCCCACGTGACACCTACTCGTACCTTTCCCTGCCTATCTCTTCAATAAAAAACATTCCTCTTAAAAAAAGTTGAAACTCAAAAGGATAGTTAAAGATCGAAATAAAGATTTTACATAAAACATATGTTTTATGTAAAGTTTTTACTTTAGATAAACTGTTAAGATCTCTGCTATGGAAAAATTTGACGCTCACAACTCAAAATTTAAAAGATCTTACAATGATTGTGGTTGGAATTATGACTATCGTTCTGAAAAAATACAGCAGGAGGTACTTTCACTCACTTTCATTTACTTTACATTTTATTCAGTTTCATTAACATTTTTTTAAAATCATACTTACTCATATTTATTTATAGTTTTTGCCATACTGTTCATACTATTAACTATTGCCAAAAATGTTTATACTTTACATAAAATCAACCATATATTTTAAACTGTTTCAAAACAGTTTAAATCAATTCATTTTAAATTTACAACAAACATGACAGTGCAAAGCAAGTCCATAACATCAAATGAAAAAAAAGAGACTTTAAGTTGATGACCGTTGTTGTGTTTTTAATGTATTTTTTAATTTAACTGATAAAAGTATATTACAATTTTAATTATAAATACTTTTGGAAGTGTATGTATATATTTTTACTAATGTTTTAAGTTACATGGATATTAGGGTAAGAATAAAAAAAAATTATAATATATGTATGTAATGTAATTATAAATTTTATATGTTTATTATAACTTGTAACAATAAAAATTATATTTTGCATCTGTTACTTAAAAAGAAAAGTAGTAAAATTTTTAATTTTTTTTGTTTTGTTTGTTTTTGAAAAGCCTGCTCGGCTTTGTGTTATTTAGGTAATCCATGGAGTGATGTGCGTAATACAATAACTTTTGACACACTTTGAGTTACTTTTAATGGGGATTTGTCGATAGCAAATTAATTCTAAAAATGTTTTGAACAAATTTTAAAAAGATATATAAGAAAAATATTTAGCTTCTCATTTAATTGTACGAATAAATAGTTTTGAATAATATAAAATAACTTATCATATATTTATTTACATTTAATACAATATTAATAGTTAAATATTAGGTTTGTAAAAACCAGGTTCTATTTTACGTGAGAGTGAACCGGGATTTAATTTTTAAATGAGTAGGTGGAAGTATCAATTTTCATTTTTGTTTTGACTTAGCATAAATATTAGAATAAATGACGTTGTAAAAAATTAAAGATGCATTGCAGCTTTTTTCTATTCCTAAATGTTATGACTTTATTTTGAATCTTGTTTATCATAATTATATTCTTTGATTCGTTTATTTGTGATTTATTGCGATTTGTGATTTAATATGTTAATATTTATTGATTTGTTATTTTTTGCAACATATTCAATATAATATATATATTACTGTATTTTCGATAAAATGGTTCAGTCGACTTTTTGTTTATTTTAGTTAAACTACAAATTTGTTAGTATCGACAACTAGTCTAATATGAACTTGTATAAAGTGAAGGCATTTTTACCAAAGTAACTCTTTTGTTTATCAACTATAGCAAGTTTGTAAATCTATTGGCGGAAATTTTGAAATTCAACAAGTTTATCATTTCTATAAGCTGATTTAGAAAATGAAATCAGGAGAAGGTTTTATTTATTATTTTTTTAAATTTCTTTTTATAGCTTCAATTTAAAAGTTTACTTAGTGTAAGGTAACCATCTAAACTCAACTTTTAATAGAATACTTTCCTAAAAAATCAATGTGAACCTTATCTACGTTATTCCTCTATCATATTTATTTATTTTTGGCCATGTAGAGTTAAAACGTTGTTCCTAGAAATTCTGAAATTTTTTAATAAAAAATGTTCTTTTGCTCAACAAAAAACATTTTCTTTAAAAAATATATTGGAACTCTTTTTATAATAATAATAAAGCTTATCTACAGCCATCATGAAATTTATTTGCTTAATTTTTTTAAATTTGTGTTGTGACGCAACCTATATTTCTGGTTTAATTGCATTTTGCATTAGTTAGCGCAGCAGCATTGGGTTTGCGCTTGGGCCAACCCCATTTTTCATAAGTTAGCACAACATCGTTTAAATACCAGTTTAATGGTAAATAATAATTTGCGGCTTCAGGCCAAGGAGCTTAATTTAAACATTGATTCATTGTAATACCAACTAAATAAAACTTGCAAGGTTGGCCCGATGATCAGCCAACGCGATGCCAACCTATCTTCAATACAAACACAATAAATACGTTTAGATAACGTTGAACTAAATTGTTTGCGTTACCACTAAAATGTACATTATGAACCACAAAAATTACAATTAAAAATAGCATTAAAAACTTTTTCAAAATTAGAATAGAGCGGAGGAAAACCATGAAACCTGTGAACTAATAAAAAAACCTGTGAATCTAATAAAATTATTAAAACTTGTCACAAATAATAATTTAAGACAAGTAGAGTTAAGTTGATTAAAACAAAATTAATAAAAAATTTTAACAAAAATAAATTTTTTTTTTTTTAATAAACCGTAAAAAAATATTTATCTTTGTTTTATGATAAATATTTTTAAAAAAATATTTATCTTTGAAAAAAATTTAATGTTTGAGAAAAGATACAGAAGTTTATTCTCTTCTTTAACATTAAAATTTAATGTTAAAGAAGAGAAGTTTATTTAAAAAAAGACTAAAGACTCTTTGATTATTTTAAATATTATTTTTCGATGAAAATTCAGAAGGCCAATTGTTTAGTGTAAGCTTGAATTAAAAAATATGTGTATTTATGCTTACATTGTAAAAAATGTATGTATTTATGCTTAAATTGTAAAAAATATATCTATTTATGCTTACATTGTAAAAAAATGTATGTATTTATGCTTAGATTGTAAAAAGATGTATGTATTTATGCTTACATTGTAAAAGGTATAAAATAATCTTAAAATCATAATATTTAAACATATAAATATAGTTTTAATATATAAAAATAGTTATAATATATAAAATTTATATAGCTATAATATATAAAAATTTGTGTATGCTTGTTTACTAATATGTTTGTATGTCCTTTTCAAGTTACAATACCATTTATCTAACCTGTTTATTGCACTATGTTCATAACTCTATGTTCATCTAACCCTGGCCAAATTTTTGAACACTCCATGTTCATCTAACCCTGGTCAAATTTGGCACAACCTATTATTATATAGTACTATTAATTAATAGTAAAGTGTGGGTAAAAGTTAGCCTATATATGAAATAATACTTTCATCTTTAGTTCGCCACATTGAAATTTGCTGTTTGATTTATTTTTGCTAACCCTGGAAAATTATGGTTAGAGGAATAAGCAGGATATATAATAGATGAAAGTTTGAGTTTTTTTAAATCTTTTTAACTCCAAATTACTTATATATTAGTGCATTTAAAGTACAATGTAATGATTTGTGATTTTTTTTAAAGTAACAAGTAACGATTATGTGTGATTTATTGAAACTAATTGAAACTAATGCCCTAATATCCTTTAATATCTTGAAAATTTTTATTATAATTTAGATTCTATTTAAATGGTGAAAACCACGTTTGTAGATATTACATTGGTTGTGGGTATCATTTATATTGAAACTTTTGCGGAAATAATAGCTAAGTCATTTAAAGGTTCATAAACAAGCAGTTTAACGTTCTTGTTACATAGTCGATCTTGATCATATTTAAGAAGAATTTCCTTTCTCGTAAAACATCTATTAACTCTTTTGAAATGTTAACAGGAAAGGTGTACGGCAATAGCGAGCAAAAAATTATAGAAGAGACAGAATGTCACATTGCTTGTATGCTTCAAGCGCTCGGTCAGGTATTGTTATTTCTTGAGCAGATTTTTTGATGTAGGTTGTATTGATGCCAGAGCATTTAATAAGTTTTGGACAGTTGCTGTTTTTGTTTTGGTGACACTTAACATTTCTAATTTGTTTTGAAAGGGTGATACAAAACTGTGTATGTTTGCTTTTTCACATCCTTTTGCAACCTACAAAACTTCAGATATTGATTGCTGCAATAAAGATGGTAGTTCTAATGCTGTTGCAATCAACTCGACTTGATTTTTGTTAGAATTCTCATTTATAGTTCGTTGTGAATCTGAATCACTAAATAATCTATCAGCTAACATCATTGCCAAGAACAAGAAAAAATGTTGCAAACTTAGACGAGAATGAAATTTCTGCCAACTCTTGTGGAAAAGTTCCACTAGAAAAGTTTCTCTTTATTGTTTAAATCTTTACGCCTTAATCTTCCAGTGCATTTTTAATGCAAACTTTAAGTTTTACAAGTTTCTCAGAAAAATAGAAATAAGAAAATTCCATTTGGTTTTACAGTCTAATATAAATGAAAGTTTTTTACTATTTTTCTCCTCAACATATTGTTGCAATAGGTTATTTCATATTGGAGATTTTATGAAAAATCTGATAACCTTTCATGAGTTTTGTAATACTTTATTAATACTTGCATCATCTAAATTGTATTCAATTTCATTATTACAGAAAACATCTATATTTATGATCTCCAGAAAAAGAATTGAACTGATTTTTAGTTTTCTCATCAGATTCTGAACTTTTAGAATCTGATACTTTATCAACTGGCTTATCAAGTACAGACACTTTTTTGTAAAAAGTACCTATTACAGCCAAATGAAGAGCACAATTAATGCAAAACTGGTTTTCAATTTCATTTAATTGTGCATATTTTTTCATAATTCTAGCTCCATCGTTTGTCGATCGAATAAGTCCAATTTTATAAAGACCTTGCATTTAAATTTATGTTACATTTAAATACCTTTTGGAGTTACAGCTAGGAGTTACATCTATTGTTATTGAGAAACGTGTTCCTGATTGAGACATTGTTGTTAACTCATTCTTTAATTCCAATTTTTTCTCTTTAGCAAAGTCTATGATCAGTTTTTAAATTTTCTTTTCGCTTCTAGACATTTCATAGTCATATTTTGTGATAAACTCTGCAATCGCACTTGAAATTTTAGAAGCATGAATAGAAAACCCATCTTATGTTGAACATTTAGCCAATAATTCTTTCATTGTTGTTCTTTCTAAGGAATTTAACATACTTGTTTTTTCTTTTTTCTGTGTTGGCTGAATAAGCTGAGTAAAAGAAGAATTATTTTTATTCAAATCAGTTTTATGTTTTGCTCCAAGATGGTTTGCTAAATTTGATGTACTCCCCCACCTGCACGCTTTCAAACAAAATGGCAAATGTTGCATTTTGCAACATTTGATATTTCTTTATAAAAAATTTGTCATACTCTTGATTTTTTCATATCTAAAACAAAAATAATTTTTTTTTTTCATTAATTTTTAAGCAACAATAATATCTTTTTTTATTCATTATAAATTGAGTTCGAATCTTATGAACTTGTATCATTTTTTCTTTTTCTTTTTTCTTTTCAATCCTTCTTTATTTTATTTCTTCTTTTTTGTGGCAACTTAATAACCTTTTTTATATTTATACTATTCATAACTGAATATACTTCGAACTGTTTATCTATTCGTTAATGTAAAAATAACGACATGTTTTTTTAGAAAAAAAAACGATTTTCGGTTTCGAGAAAGCTGAACAAAAAACCGGTTAACCGGTTGCGGTTTCCAGTGGTAGCCAAGCCATTCACTATATATTATGACTATATAGAAAATCTTGCAACAGCTTACAAAAAGTTAATATTTATAAATATCTTTTAATACTGAAAAAATAATTGAATAGTAATAAACAGTCCAAAAAACAGTTAATCTTACTAATAAAAACTTTTTAAAAAAGATCTAAAAATTATGAACAAAAAACACTCTTAAGAAGCTTTAGCTGATATAACACTTTATTCGTTTTGAAAGTTTCTTTCTTTTGTTTAAATTATTGCATTATTTAAAGTAAGTTTACTTTACAATAATTTCCGATCAATGATTGGCTAAAAGCATATTTAACAATCTTTAAAATTTGATAACAATAAGAAAAGTAACTTATTGTCAATGAGTAATGATAGTTGCAGCCATTTTAAAAATTCTTGAAATATGTAAATTTTACTGTACATGCATATATAACTTCACTTATTAAGTAAGTTTGAACGACCATGTGATCGAACTAATTTTAACTTTTTTAACAATTAAATTTTAACAATTTCACTCTCTTATGATAAAATTTTTCTTTCTTTTATTGAACAGCATTTTTTTAATCTTCTAAGTTCTTCTTATTCTTTATCTTCATACAAATGTAAAATACAGTTTTTAATAAAGTATTTAACAAAAGATACATTAATTCTGTATACAAAAATAAAATATTGATAAAATATTATAAAATAAATAAGTATAAAAATACAATTATGCACTGCATATTCATTTTGTCACCAGTTTTATATAATATTATATCATATATTATATATTCACTTTGTCTTTAGTTATTTTAATACTGGCAGGAGCTTTTCTATTTTTATCATCGACTTTTGTTGTGTTCAAGTTATGTCAATATTTACGCAATAAGAAAAATAAATACAAGATAGTTGATAGGACCATATGTTGTCCGATCAATAATGAACTCCGATCCTCACTTCGGACAGTAGAAACTCAATTACCGGTTGAAAATCAACCGACAAACAATTCATCGGTTTGTTAATAATGTTTTCTTTTTTTTATCTTTTGTATTCTATATTAAAAATATAAAAATTTTAAAATCAAGTTAATTTTAATTTTAAGCATTGTTTAAGCAGAAAAGAAAGGACTCCAACAGTTTTAGTTCTTAATGAAAATTATCCAAAGGAAAGATCAAATTCTGAGCTGTCGGACAATGTATTTCTAGACGAGCCTTGGAACTTTAAACTAAGAGCTTTGTCTCAAATAGAGTTAAGACAATATGAGAGAAGTCAGGAAGCAATGAAACATATAAAAAAAAAAGACATGAAAGGTAAATATGACAAGCTTTTTAAATAAAAAAAAACAGAGTATATCGAATTAAAAAAAACTTTAAACCAATCAACATTTCTTAGATTTAATTTTTTTAACTTTTATATTATTTTAGTGCATAATTCTGCAAGCGATTGTTCACGTTCAGATGTCCCTAGTAAAAAAAATAGTGAAGTTAGTTTACCGAATTCTGCAAACAATTGTTCATGGTCAGTTGTCCCAAGTAAACTAAATAGTGAAGTTAATTTACTGAATTATGATAGTGATAAAGTTTCAACGGACAGTTTATTTAGCGACAGTGACAAATCAAGTATTTCTAGTATGGGTTATACCGAGTGCAATGATGAATATCTGAGTACTATTAGACAAAAGTTAGCATCCAACCGCAATAATAAACATATTCAGTTATTAAAAAAAAAAATAGGAACAATAACAATAAAAGCGAAATTTCAGAACAACACTAAATCTCTAGAGATTAATATAATCCGAATAATCATCAATGAAAAAATACGAAACTCCAATCTTAATTATTTGGTTTGTTTGAGTATAATGCCAGGAAAATTGCAGACAAAAACCTCAAAGTACGTAAAAGATTTAAATGGGTTGAATTTTAATGAGCACTTTTTTTTCCATAATTTAGATTTGACACAACTACATTTGTATAGTTTAAAAATTACGTTGATTAGTTGTAACATGATTAAGCAAAAAAAAATTGTTGCAGAATCGCTAAGGCATCTTACTGATCTTAAACATGCTGGTGAAACACCCAACATATCTTTTGATCTATTTTGCCGTTTCAAGTCAAAAGTAAATAGTTTTGGTTTGTATTTAGAAGTAGTTTGTCATTGCATATTAGTTCAATATTTATGTTCTTATTTTAGGCTTCTATGGCTTCCTTGCACATTTCTTTATGCCACCAAGCAACAATATCCAAACTAGATGTGATTATTGGAGAAGCAAAACAACTGCCAAAGTTTTCAAGTAAAATTTATTTAAAATATAAATTATAGCTCATTTTTTTTATTGCAATATAAATAATATACCTTATTATAAATTTGCAGCCGAGATACAGTGGTTCTGCTCAGAACTAAGAAGTTCAATATTCAATGTTGGCCATATAAGTGACATTGGCAAAAAAAGAAGCGTTAGCTTTCTAGTTAAATGCTCTTCCGCGGTCCTCTATGATAGAACCGTAGGTGCTCTATGATAGAACCGTAGGTGCTCTATGATAGAACCGTAGGTGCTCTATGATAGAACCGTAGGTGCTCTATGATAGAACCGTAGGTGCTCTATGATAGAACCGTAGGTGCTCTATGATAGAACCGTAGGTGCTCTATGATAGAACCGTAGGGTCTTCTTAGAGCATCTTAATAATTAAAAAAAATTAATTGTTTTAAATAAATACTATTATTAAAATGCAATTGTTTATACAAATATCCATTGCTCTTTTTCAGAGATTTCTAATTTAAGTTGCTTTAAATTTTTAAACCATTAAGTTGAACAAAATATACAAAGCTGACACAAAGTCACTGAGGCCAATTTTAAAAAGACATTTCTTTTTATTTTATGACGTTTGTGTGTATTTTTTAGTTTTAAAAATGTATGACATTTAAAAAATAAAGGAGGTTCTTTTGAGCAATTAAATACATTTTGATGAAATTTGAAATCTAATAATGGAATATGATAAGGTAAAACAATTTTCTTTAGTTTTAATACGTCTCTTATTGAGGGAAAATAGTTTTCCTCACTAAGAGAAGTATTTGAATAATTTTGTCTTAATAAATTACGTCAATTGTCCGATAACATGTTTAAGTTATGAAAATTTGCCATAATACTTTTTCATAAAATTAAAAAAACTTAATATACAAAGTTTATCAAATTAAAAATATATACTGAACAAACTATTCTTTGTAAGATAATCATGCTATACATAGAGATAAATGTAAGAGAGAATTGTCTCAACTCGAAAACACTTTTCTAGTTCTTTAACTTTTAAGTTTTTCTTGATCTCTGAACTCAAACTCATTCACACCACTCTTTGATTATCTTCTTAGTCACCCTTTAATTATCTGTATTTTGACTTTAGATACAATATAAATTTCAAATAAGCAATACTAAAAGGTTTTTGTTTTTTTTAAATGCAATAAAATAATGATTGAAAAATGTGAAAGATTTGCTAACGAGCAAGTTCTAAGCATTTATTCTTTAAATTTATTTGTTAATTAGTTTATTAGTTAATTAGAATTATGTATAATTCAATTGCGCTTACTAGCACATAAAATGAAAACGTACTAATTCTGTAGCAAACATCATATACAGATTCAAATGTTACTAATCCATATCTGTTTATGCAAAATTGACTAAGGAAATTATAAACATTGTTTCACTACATAAATAACATTTTTATGAATATCATGTAAGTAAAACTGTTGATCTAGTCTTTATGTAAATAATTTTGATGCACCCAACTATGCTAAAGTTTTGTCATCTTAGAAAAAATAACACTTCGTTCTTAAAAAACATATTCTGGAATGTATTGAAACTCTGATTAGGTTTGATAAATATATCTGATAAATATATATAAAAATAATATATAATTATATATAAATATATAATTATATATTATTACTATTAATTGTAGCAAGGAAACTCATAAGCCCTCAGTAGCTTTTTTTGAAATAAGTTATTTATTTTAAATTGCTTTGCCTTAATAATAATCATAATTCATATTTTCAAACTTTTGATATAAATATAAATTAAACTTCAAAAAAATGAGCAGTTTATTTAATAAAAAATGTATAATATTAAATGTAATAAAAATGTATAATAATAAATGTAATAAAAAATGTATAATATTAGATGTTTATTATTGTTAACGTATTTCAGATACTTATGTTACTGTTTCATTATTTCGTGAAGAAGAGATTGAAATAAAAAATACTTCTACAAAGTACAATACAAGTGATCCTTTATTTAATCAATCAATCGAGTTTGATATTCGTACAGACGGTTCTAATCCTCTTTCGGTTTTTGCATTGGTTGTTACAGTTAACGATTTGAATTTTTTGAGGAAAAACCGTGTTATTGGTCATGTAATATTTAGTTTGCATTCTCCACAAAAACATGCTGCAACGCATTGGAATCGCGTACAAACTTTACCCCATCAAACTCTTTCTGAGTGGCACTCTCTAATAGATCCAAATGAAATCTGAGTGGCACTCTCTAAAAGATCTAAATGAAATCTGAATTGCACCCTGAAACAGATCCAAATGAGACCTTTATTTCAATTCTTACATTTTCTACCCATACTCAACAAACTGAATAATATTTTACTCCTGTTGGCTATGAAGTTTAAGTTAATAAATATCTTAAAAAAAAAACTGATATTCGTTAATAAAATACAGTTTTGTTAACTGTTTTGTTTAAAAAAAATATGTATATAAAGAGTACGACTATTTTAAAGAGTATAGCTATCTGTAAATATTTATATATGTATGACATTTTGATATATTACAAGCAATCTATCTATATAAGTGTGGGTGCGTGTGCTTGTGTGCGCGCGCGGGTGTGTATATGTGTTTACAATCATATTAAAATGTTTTTAACAAATTTTGTTTTAATTTATTGGAAGATGTCAAGCTGTGTGTACGCATTTTGTAGTATATTTGATTTTAACTTTTATTTTGAGAGGGAAATTAAGAGGCCGAATGTTATTCAAAAAATGGCTGCATCAAGTATTATATTTATAAAAAGCAACTTCAACCTTAATTATTAGTTTGTTTTTACTTCAATATAAAAATGTTTATATTGAAGTAAAAACAAACTAATAATTAAGGTTACCACCAACCACACCACCAGCACTACACCACCAGTACCATACCACCAGCACCACACCACCAGCACCACACCACCAGCACCACACCACCAGTACGACACCACCAGCACCACACCACCAGTACCACACTACCAGCACCACACCACCAGTACCACACTACTAGCACCACACCACCAGCACCACACCACCAGCACCACACCACCAGCACCACCAGCACCACACCACTAGCACCACACAACCAGCACCACACCACCAGTACCACACCACCAGTATTGAGTTTATTTTGCAACTTTTTACTGAATCAATAATTATCACTTTAAAATAAATAGTACAGTTTAGATTATTGAAAAGTCATTTCCTTCTAAGACAACGGATGAAGTATTCTTAAATGAACAAGTTATAAATGATTGGTACAACATGTAGTTTTTCATTTTCAAAAACAAAATCGAAGATCTTGAAAACGGTTAATCTTAGTATCAATGTTAACTTTCTGATAGTAATATTCCAACAACGTTTCAGTTAGGTCAAATAAAGAGTGAGAATGTTACAAAGTTCAATATAGCACCATACTTTCTTAATTTGTTATAAAAAGAATATATTAAACTTAAGTCGTTAAACTGGATGCAAAAAAGTCAACTCAACTGTAGAGCATTATTGTACGATTCTTAAACGATGAATTCTGATTCAAATTAGAAGTTTATCTGGAAACAATTTTTATCAGTTTTTGGGAGTAGCAAATTCAGAGCACCTATTAAAATAATTTAATTGTTTAATTATAGAAAGTTTGTTGAGTTTTTAGCTGAAAAGTTAAATCCATCTTAAAAGTATTAAATCAATCGTCTCATTTTAATTTGATGTTTTAAAAAGCATTATAGTGAGAAGGCTTTTTAAACATAAAATATTAGGCTTATCAATTGAATTTATTTTAAATCAATGTTTTTATATAAACAGGTTTGAAATGTTACTCATAAATTTGCGGCTGAAAAATTGAAAAAATCTTTGATCACAATTCTTATAAATAGCCTTTACTTACAACACATTGATCCAAATAACTAATTAAGAAAATATTTTTAAAAGTTAATATAATAATACTTTTTCTGTGTAAAAATCAGAAATATAGCGTATAATGTGTTTAAATGAAATTTTTTTTTTTTTTTTTTTTTTTTGTATGAAAAATATTTTAAAATTGCTTTGTTTTTTGAAGTTGAAGAGGTTTTTGAGCTGTATTTAAAAGAAAAAAATGTTTAGTTTTTTTCATTTTTTGTTATAGGGTTAGCTATATTTCTTATCTCTTTTATCTATATTTCTTTTGATAATCTCTAAATGGAAAAGTTTTCTTGTAAAAAACTTTATTTCACTGAAACAAAATGTCTTCCAAATGTGACCTTTCGAAACATACTTTTACAAATAAAAAAATAATAATTTTAAACCAAAAGGATACCTTTTAAAAATCAACATAAAAGCAACAAAAAGTTTACGATTTTGAAAATTGTTTGCACTCTGGCAATTCGAAAAAATGCAATGTAACACATTGCGTAATAATAATGACGTCGTTATCTGGCAAGTAGTGAATTCTTTACTATAGCGATAAAAAGAAACATGAATACTCAGTTTATCCCCCCTCCCTCCTCCAAGCCAAGCCGGAAAGCAAGCATTTTGAAACCACAACAAAAAATCTGATTTGAATTTAGTCTACTTTCTCCTGTACGTTTCAGTGAAATAAAGTTTTTTAAAGAAAACTTTTCCGTTTAGAGATTATCAAAAGAAATATAGAGATTATCAAAAGAAATATAGATAAAAGTGTACTAGAGGCAAATACTAAATATTTATTTCCATTGTGAAGCAACACTGCTTTGAGATTCTATAATAAGTGTTGTGTAGGTTTATAATCGGGTCTAAAAAAATTAAATAAATCAGTTTAAAATCTTCACAATAACATAAGTCTTTTCAGGAGTCATAGTAAATTTGAAATGCTTAATGTTGTTTCCGGTTCGTGCAAAGCTGCATTCTTCTTTTAGTCACCAGACTCCTTTCTTCAGTCTAGAAGTTCAACATCTGACTTAACAAGACCTAATTCTCTGACTAAATTATGTCACATATTAAATGAGTGACACGATTTGTCTTGATTCCCTTTAGACATTCCAAAATATTTTGCTTATGCTATCCACATTATGGTATATTTGCGTTCTCTATCCGTATGTAACACCTGTTTTTTGTCAATATAATATTCACATGTATAACAAAACATATCAGGAGAGATTTAACATCTTCTAGTAAACTAATCTGAAGAACAGAACTAACCAAGTCGACACAAATGCGTATATAATGCGTATTAGATAGTATCGGTTGAACACGATGAAATTCATTTGTTAATTATGCAAAAACTACTTAATATATTTTTGTAATTTTTTTGACACAATGAAGCTAATTGAACTACTTATTTATTTCAATAATTTATACGATGTTTAGAGAATTTATGTTTATTTCAATAAATTATACGATGTTTAGAGAATATCTTTGCAAGTACTTGACATTACCTGCTGGATCCTGCTTTGAATTACTTTTTTTGAGGCGGCATTTCATTTTTTCTTAAAATCTTTTTTTACTTATAGCTAATTTCTTGCTTTTCAATAAGATTCCTTTTATAATTGGCCTATAACTTTTAATAACTTGCTGTTCAGGACAATTTAAAGGATTTGCTTCCTTAAGTACAAACTCGACGCCATTTTTTTCATACTACTCTACAGACTTCTTGGAGTAATGAATTATAGCCAAATCAGGCCAAAATATTTTGTTTCATGCTTTTTAATGGGAAAAGGCGTTTCTTTAAGCATTCTACTATATATATAATTCTGGGTTCAAAATTTAACGAATAATGTATGGTGTACTTTTTAAACCACAGGAGAAGATCGTTTGCCATATTAGGAACTTGGAAGCAAATAACTAAGTTTGAATATGCTTGAAATTTATGGCAACAAATCTGCCTTTCGACTAATAAAAATATTGCTGCTCTGGCAACTGTGAAAAGTCCTTTTTGCAATAGGTTTTATTGTCTTCAATCATGTATAAGTTTTCTCGGTTTAAAAGTTTATATAGCTTTTTTAAACGACAAATTGCTTTAATTTCTCCATCAATGGATTGCTTTGGATTTTTTGTTTGTACTTTTCCTTGGCTGCATTTAAATTTTCTCTCAAGATCTCTCTGAAATGACATGGATTTGCCTTTATGGAGCGAATGATTAAATCTGCTTTATATTTATCTTTAAGGCCTTTCTTATTTCCACTTCCAGCTTCTCTTTCAATAGATTAAGTCTGTTTATATTGCCGCAAAATAAATCTGACTGATGATCGAGAAACACCGGTCAATATTGAAATGTCAACTTGTTGACATTTCAATATTGACCAAATTTTTTTTATTTAATATATATATATATATATATATATATATATATATATATATATATATATATATATATATATATATATATATATATATATATATATATATATATATAACATTTGTTTGCTCATTTTAATCTGATAACAACAATAACCAATACCAATACAATCAAACAATTACCATTACAATCAAAAAACACATTAGCTTCCGTGTGCATCGTGTTCAACCGATATTTAGAGTAGCCTAAAATATTTTTAAAACAAATTATTTTGGTATTTGATAACAGGTATACAATATGTTATTTATTCGTTTTATAAAAAATTTAACAATGCGAAGATGGAAAATTTCGTATTTAAAGTACCTAATAATGACGAATTTTTCCATCTACAATATACGTATTATTTTCTGTCTAGTAATCTACTATTTTTATTTCCTCATCCAAGTTAGGCTGCAAAGGAAGCACAATAACAATCTCCCATAAAATATTTTGTTAGGCGCTGACGATGTATTGGCGCTTAATTCCCGGTTGGCGCCAAAAACTTTATAACTTTAAAATTTTTAAGTTTTAAAAGACTTTTAAAAGTCAATGATAAAGAAAACATTATACGTTTTTAGGGTTTGCAAAGAAAATTAATTAATAAACAATACAAGTTTGTTTCATTTTGTTATTAACCAAGTTAATAAATTTGACAGAATTACCTAAGTCATTCGTTTGCCAAAGCTACTTATGTTAACAGGAAATGCGAATCGTCTATAAATCTAATGTTTTAAATAAAAAAATTGGGTCAATACACTTGGATAATTAAAAGAGGATGAAACTTTATATTGAACTAACAATATCTTTGATAGATTTTAGTTATTACTGCAAAGCAAGACAGTAAAACTGTTCAGAGGTACAGTTAGTTGTTAAGGGTTTTTTGATATTAATTTAGTAATTGTTTTAGGTTGAAGAATTTTTTCTAATTTTTAAACTTTTTTGTAGCTTCTAAGAAAGAAACTTTGCGTAAACTGAAAAATACATTATTCTCAATTCACCTGCAACAGCTTGATGAAGTGGACATTATATAGAACAATATAATCGAATCGGCTCATTCAAAAATGAAATGTTTTAAAAACGCGTTTACGAGTGAAACACGCTCTTTCATCAGCATTAAATTATAGATTGGGAAAAAATAGATACTGTAGATTCATATATAAATACTTTGGATTTTAATAGTAAACACTTTTAGAAACTGTTAGCTAACATGCCAAACAAATCATTATTTTTTAGAATTAAATAAGTTTTAGGATTAAATATGTTTATATATATATAATATATATAAACTTTAATTAAGCAAAATTAATTTTTTTATATATAATTTTTATATATAAACTT